ATGTTTCAAATGTGGACGCATTGGCCACTATGCAAACAAGTGTAGAACTAAGGAGAAGCTCAGTAGTCTTCACATAGAAGAGGAACTGAGACTTCAATTAAGTAAATTATTACTTAATACTAGTTCTTCTGAACCAGAATCATCAAGTGATTACGGAGATGTTGTCATGGAATTACAGTCTTCTTCTTCCTCTGAAGCAGAGATTGAAAACCCTAGATGTTCCTTTTTATTGACATAAAAAGCTCTGCAACTCCAGGGGGAGTAGCTAGTAGTGACAAGCTTTTTAGCCATTAAAGAGCTGATTTCAGTCTTACATAATTCCAAGTAGTCAGCTTTCATGTGGCTGGGACTAGCTTTTGAAGGAATCATGCTATCGGTAAACCCCTTTACATAGGGTAAAGAAACAATATGCTTCTTTCTGGCCCAAAAAGCATTAGGAATCTCACTACAGATTTCCTTTAAAAAGTGTTGCCGTAGTGACTCAATTTTCTGTTGCTCTTTGGGTTGTACCAATCTTTGATTAATTGCTAAGGAGGATACCTCCTGTTGCAAATAATTCAGTTGCTTTTCCTTAAAGATAATGTTATCTTTAAGAGCATTGATATGCTTATTTACTGGTGGGGTCAATAACTGGAAAGTAATTGACTGACCATGTAAAGTAGAGTATATTCCATGAGAATCAATTTTCTCAATTGGCATAATCAAAGCTAAAAAGGGAGTGCCCAAAATAACCTGTTGTGCCAAGTTTCTGATGAGTAAGAAAGTAGATGGTAGACAAATACCTTCTTTACAAATGAAAACATGATTAAGTTTATACTTAATCTGCATCTTACCTCCACTTGCACTGGTAAGACCTTGAGTGGTTTTCTCAAAATATTGAGTAGGAACCAATCCTTCCTGGATGCAGTTCATGTCTGCACCACTATCAACTAAAGCAATTGCATTAGTGAGTGTGTACTCCTGATTAATTACCAAATTGATAGTAATATACCATTTTTGGTAAGTAACTTGATTCAAGAGTTGAAGATAATTATTACCTTCTTCTGATTGAGGAGCTTCCTCCTTGGATGAGGAAGATGGAATTGCAGATTTTCCTTTTAAAAGAGTAATTTCCAAATCCATCGTAGTCTGCCTAGACTTCAATTGACGAATTTCTTCTTTTAAAAGATTAATCTCCATTTTAAGATCAGGGAGATTAGCAGGACGAGAATTTTGTCCTTGGTGTTCTAATCTGCGTAGAACTTCTTTCATACTGTAATAATTTTCTGCTCGCAGAAAATCTGGATTATCCGGTTCCTCATTAGATTTTGCCAGAGCAGAACCTATTTCAAAGACTTTTAGTACCTTAATCTCTTAATTGATAATACAAAGCAAGGAGTAAATTTTAAAACATGCTCTGCAGACTACATCAACTCCACTCCCAAAAGTCAACGGGTCGGACATCTGAACAACCCTTGAATCAGTGTACGTTCATAATCATTGACCCATTCAACCAATATTTCGCAAGCCATCCATTTTGACAGTTCGAATGATGGGGCCCTAATCTTTTGTTTTTCACTTAAATGAACATAGATGTGGCAAGATCACAATAAATATTGTACTTAAAAAGAGTACAAAATTTTGAAATCATGATATATAAAAGTATAAGGTCCCAACCACCCCATCTGGTGGCAGCATTAATAGACCAATAGAATCCAAATTTGATTACTATAGCCTATTAAATTCAATCGGGTTGTTAACAAAGTGAAAAATATTAAAAATAAAAAAACAAAAACAAAAACAAAAAAACCAAAAAACAAAAAAAAAAAACAATGCAGACGGGTTCAAAACATTGAGTAAGAATCGTAAGATCACTCATATATAGAACAGTTCAAGTAAAAAAATAAAAGACGACCCTCATTGCATAATTTTAACCTTCTAACTCATGCAAGCTCTTGAAAGTAAGATATATATATATATATATATATATATATATATTGAACTAAAATCACAAGTTTATTCTTGCAGCAGGGTGATTGTGCATGGGAAGAAACACTAAACCAAGATAACATTACACAATAAATCAAACTGGTTGCCCCACACCACAACCAAACTCGTTTAACACTAACAAAGTAAAATTAATATAAACCTTGGCATCATTTTGCATTCTACAAAGCAACTAAGAAGTATTTGGCCACACTCTTATCAAAATCCAAACGAGCCAAATAAATAATTACAATTTACAACCACAAATTAGTGAAGCAAATTGGTTAAAAAGGCCATTAAGCACATGTGGGATCCACACTAATAGTTATGTAAGACATTCACAGGCTGATTATATGGCAATAATAAGAATAATAGTATCAATTACGAACACGAAGAGTGGACCACAAAAAAGCTTGCTAGAAGAGAACAAGAACTTACCTTCAAAATCCTTAAAATAAAAAAAAAGTTAAGCCCCTGAGAAAACTGATGCAAGATATTCTTGGGTAATCTTTTTTATAACAAAATGACATCTAGAGAATCCACAAACATCTCCATCTCCTAAAATACTAAACTATGGCAAGTGAAGATTATGAAAATGTAATCAAAACAGAAACCCTAGCTGATCATGATATAATAAAAACAGAAACAATTGCATCAAAAAAAAAAATACATAATACTAGAAAGGGGAAAAAGATGGTCGTACGGAGCACCGGTTCGTTATCCTTCCACCGACAGGAACGGGAGGTGCTCGCTGTGCTCTGTGAAACCAGCCTGACGCTGTGCCCCCCACTATAAGGCCCATGAGCCCTTAGCTTTCGCCCCAGGCCCATGAACGAACTCCTTACTTGGACAGGGCGAGCCAGCAAATATACACAAAAAGTCCTACCGTCTGGACCAAACTCAATTCCGACCATCCTTAATGCCCTCACTTGAGTTAAAGGCTTGAGCGACCAAGCCCAGCGAGTCAAAGAGATTCCCAAAGTTATATATAAAGAGTAAAATTCAACATACATTTGTCGATGTGGGACAGGGTACGATTCAAAAAATTAAGTAAACTTCTATCAACCAACGATCACTCACTCACAACTTACCTAATGTGAATTCTGATCAGACCAAAATGAACCAACCTAGAGCTGACCTCACAAATATCGTGCAATGAATTAATTTGGCTGAGGTCTTGCTAATAAAGAGCACTTCATATTGATGTAATTTGATCTTTGAAATAGACGTTCACAAAGAATACTCTGAGAGGACAAAGATATATTTAATACAGTATTAGGTATCGTTTTGCACAAATATGTGTAGTCACCCACAGTGAACCTTATAATATGGTCGGAGTTGGTGAAATCTCACATTTTCTCATACCATGTGTCTTTGGGATGATCTTAATTGAAGTCTTTTGGTAGTGGAAACATAACTTCTATAACTTGAACTTGGAGGAAGGAAAAAATAACCTCATTCCAGTAATGGACAAAGCTATTATTATAGAAATTCTACTTCTTATAAATTGTCAAAGGGGCAACACTAATTTATAGCATAATTTTTACACTATTTTACTTTCAAAGTTGTCACTATTGGATCATAACTCTTCTCGTGAACCCACTATTTATGTGAGTCACGCAAAAGTGTTTTGAGTACTGTTTGGAATACAAATTTTCCTTGTACCTACATTACTTTGACAAAATGATTAATGTTTTTGACAACTCACAGAGGAACCATTGAGATTATATTCCTAGAAAAAAAAAAAAAAATGAATAAAGAAAGAAAATAGAAGGTTGTTCCATCAATATTTAAGAAGACTACATGGGGCACAGAAAATTAGAACCCAATCTTCTAAAGAAACCTCCAAGAATGAGTTTTCAATCATGTTTCTAAGAATAATTTTTTTTGTACTTTGAAAGTGAAAGCCTGAGTAAAGGGAAAAGGAGTCTAGAGTGCTACGTGGTTGAATATGAAGGAATACCTAACCTTTATTTGGATACAGTCTTGCTCTTTCTATGGTGAGCCATACCTTAGCTAGCTTTAATAATGTGGCTCTCAATTTCCTAAAAGTCTCCAAATATTATTATTATTGTTTTTTTTCAATCCAATTACTATCCAACACATTGGAAATTGCTTTTTCAGTTGGACTCCATTACTTTCACTACTGTGGCAACTCTTTATGGTTCACCACCGACATATCAGGTGGGTTTTTTATTTTTATTTTTTAGATAAGAAAAGTTTTTATAGATTAATATACAAATTAATTTATGTCTTTATCACCATTGCTGATATACTATAGAAGAAGGTTTACACAATAATTTGATATTTGTAAAATATATTATCTAAGTGAAATATGAAGCAAAATGTTTAATGTGAAGAAATCTGAAATTTGATAGAAGAAATCATAAGGATGTTTCGGAATTTGCATGTGCTTTCGGTTGACAAATAAAATAAATATAAAAGTATTTGTGACATCAAGAAATTTTGCTCAAGAAAAAAAATAATGCTATATACTTCCTTTCAACCCTATTAATAAAGATGATATATGAGTAAAAATAGATCAATCAAATGGGACATGTCTAGCCCAATTGAAAGTGAATTAATTGATTGATGTTTTCATGTTTTTTAGTTATGAATTCTTGTCACATTTATGTTGTATTTAGCTCTTTCATTTTCATTTTTTTTTCTTTTTTTTCCACTTATTCGTAATCAAACAGTTCAAACTCGAATAATTTTCCGAGCAAAGACATGTTACATCCCCACACTAGGTCTCAATAATTGAAAGCAATTGCACTAATAATATCAAATCAATTTATACAAACTATAAGGAGGGAAAAGAAAGGCGCCAAATGCAACTGAATATATTATATACATTTACATACATACATACATACATATATATATATATATATATAAGAGAGGGGCCACGGCCAAGAAGGCAAAAGCCAAACTCGGAAAGCGAAAGCAAACAGTGTGACTGACACAACACCCCACAACCGCAACCCATTTTTTCATTTCATTATTTTCTCAATCGAAAACAAACAAATAATTAAAACAAAAGTTACAAAATCCCAGAGCTAAATCTAAAACTCTCTCCACTCATAGAAAAAGAAAGAGGTAGAGAGAGAAGGGAATAAAGGCTTTTCTTCTCTTCTCTTCTGCAAGAATCTCTTTCATTTCTTTTCTTTTCTTTTGCGTCGAAAAATGGCGTTCAATACAGCTTGAAAAGCACAGAGACAATTTAGAAACATGGGAGGTAGTGTAGAGAGAGAAAGAGAGAGAAATTGTCGGTTTGTGGAATCAGAATGACCTCGATTAGTTTCTATCTCTAGACTGTGGTTCTCTGTTTCTGTAACCCGTGTCAATAACTTGTCTTCGTGTCCATTCTTGCTCACTCTTTGAAAAAAGTCTCCGTGTTTAACTTACATTCAGGCTTTGCTCATTACAAGGATATAAATTTATGGACTTGAAACAAAGAAAAGAAAAAATGTATGCATGAAATTTTGGGGATTAAACTGGGGAAAAAAAAGAAGGTACGAGTTTTCTTTTCTTTTATTTTCTTCTCTCCTTCTGTAGGTTTCATTTTCTTTTCGTATGATTAAAGTGTAGAATATAAGTAGAAGTGATAATTTGAATTGGGTTTGAGTCATTTCACAGGGTTTTTAATTAATATTTGTTGATTCCTTCATTTGAAAGTCATGTTTTTCCCACTGAGTTGGTTGATTTTGGTGGTGATTTTCTTTAGCTTTTCACCGCATTTTCGAGGCTCTGATTTGGTTTCATCTATTATTCTCAAAACATATGAATTCAGCTGGGATTTATCCTATTTCAGGCCCATACACCAGAGAGAGTTCTGAAGTCAGAGTTTGATTATTTCTGCTCCTAGAGAGGTAACCTTCCTCAAATTTCCTTTCATATTGCTATTATTTTAGCCAGATGTATAAGTAAATTTTTTGTAATTGTAATATTTTTCTTAGGCATATGTGTTTGTTTAAAATGAAATGTTCATTAGTTACACCACAAAAACCACAGCAATCTCTAAAAATATTTTTTGAATTCCTAAAGCATGATACACCTCTATAAACTGATAAAAATCTCAAGTCAAATTGTCTTAGTTTTTTTATTCATCTCATTTCCTGTTCTTTTTTAAATATATATATATATACTTGTCAGATAAATATTACTTTGTAGTATCTCTCTTCTTTTTTTTAATTAATCTTCAAAATCTCTATTTTAATTTCTTTCACATTAACTATGGATGCAGACTAGAAGACAGTTACCTTTTTATTGATTAATATAATATAGAAGCAAATCAACCTTCCAAGCTATTCGATTCGGTATTTGTTTTTTTCCATTAGCCAGTCATAGTTTGTGCTGATGGCAAAAGCATTTAGCCCTTCAGCTTTAATTGTTCTGGCTGTTACTTCAGTTTTAATCTGTCACTCAAAGCAACTACAATCATCCCAAGCACAGACCCTTTTGAGAATTCAAGGCCTTTTGAACTTCCCAGCTGTGTTAAGCAACTGGACCGAGGACACAGATTTCTGCAACACTGAACCAAGTTCGTCTGTGACGGTTGTGTGTTATGAAGAAAGCATAACCCAATTGCATATTATTGGGAACAAGAAGATTCCTCCATTACCGCGGAACTTCTCCATTGATTCTTTCGTGACAACACTCGTTAGGCTTCCAAGCTTGAAAGTCCTCACATTGGTTTCTCTTGGTCTATGGGGGCCATTGCCTGCTAAAATTTCACGTTTATCAACACTGGAAATATTTAACATAAGTTCGAATTTCCTTTATGGTGCCATTCCACATGAGATCTCATCTTTGACAAACCTCCAGACATTCATACTTGATGACAACATGTTCATTGGCCGATTTCCAGATTGGCTAAGTTCACTTTCAGAATTGACTGTCTTGTGTTTGAAGAAGAATTTGTTAAATGGATCTTTGCCAGATTCACTAGGAAGTTTGGAAAATCTCAGGATTCTCTCGCTGTCACATAACCATTTTACTGGTGAAGTTCCTGATCTTAGCAGTTTGACAAACCTTCAAGTGCTGGACTTGGAAGATAACTTGCTTGGACCTCAATTTCCTCAGCTTGGTAATAAAGTAGATACTCTTATTCTGAGAAAGAACAAGTTCAACTCTGGCATTCCTGTTGAAGTGAGCTCCTATTACCAACTGCAACGACTAGATATTTCTTTGAATAGATTTGTGGGACCATTTCCACCATCATTGTTAGCCTTGCCATCAATTACTTATCTGAATATTGCGGGAAATAGATTCACTGGGAAGCTCTTTGAAAATCTGTCTTGCAATGCTGAACTTGAATTTGTGGATTTGTCCTCAAATCTTTTGACTGGAAACTTGCCCAGCTGTCTTCTGTCTGATTCCAAGAACAGGGTTGTCCTTTATGCTAGGAATTGTTTATCATCTGAAGATAGAACTCAACATCCATTTTCTTTTTGCCGAAATGAAGCTTTGGCTGTGGGAATCCTACCTCACCACCAGAAGCCAAAACATGCTTCCAAAGTAGTTCTTGGCTTAAGCATAACTGGAGGAATTGTTGGAGGAATTGCACTTGTTGGTCTAGCTTTCATGATTGTTAGAAGAGTTCACGACAAAAAGAAAATGAAAGCACCTCCGACAAGATCAATAACAGAAAATGCATCAACAGGGTACACCTCAAAGTTGCTTTCTGATGCAAGTAAGGTTTCATTTTATTTCCCTTCTTCTTTTTACTAAGTGTGTTATGGGGGTAGTTGGGTGGGAGACAAAATAAATAATTTAGAAAAGAAAAACATTAGTAATATGTTTAGAATTATGAGAACAATATGTTTAGATATTTGAATCGAGGATATACTTAGATCAAATTTAAATAATATGTTAGCAAAGCCAAAATTTTAATTAGAATAATGAGTTTAGTGTTAAAACTATATTTGCAGATTTGTGAGTACAGAATCACAAATTTCAGTATCATATTTTCTTATAGGTCATTATCTTTCAGATTACTAGAATGATTTTTGCCCAGGTGAATGAAAACAATTTTCAATCAATAACCTGAACTCTGCTCTTTAGCCCTAATGAACTAATTCTATTAAAATATTTCTGTAGACATTGAAGTTTTAGCCACATAGACCAATTTAATCTGTTGTCACAGTTTGAACTGCTAGAGATTTGGAAAGGAATAGGTAATATTCATAGTTTGTTTAATATCAATAAAAAAAAATGCAGCTGTTCTGATTTGTGGATAAAGTAGAATATATACAAATATATATATATATATATAATGGTTAATAGAATCGATTGAATCATGCCAATTTTGGCCTTGTAAATAATTGGATGAAAAAAAAAAAAAAAAAAAAAAAAAGATATAGAAGGAAACAAAGTGTCTTGAAAGCAGGCTAACTTTTTTTTTTTCTTACTTCTCATGACCACAAATATGATGGTATGATAATTTCCTAACCTGCAGGGTATATATCGCAAGCAATCAAGCTAGGAGCACTTGGCCTTCCAGCTTATAGAACCTTCTCATTGGAAGAGCTTGAGAAGGCAACAAATAACTTTGATACATCAACTTTCATGGGTGAAGGTTCTCATGGTCAGGTATGCAGCGTTGGCCAATTCATAATTATTCATGCGGTTGTACTATCGAATTTCTTTTTGCAGCATTATATGACACTCTTATATTATATCCTATAATGAAGTTCTGTTAGTCCTTTCCAAATTTTTATTGGTGTAATAAGTTTAATCATCAAGCGAAAAGGAAACTGCCTTACCTAGCTTCAGATGAGTGGGGTTGTCTAATAACTTCCATGATTGAACACTTCTTTTCGTTCAAATTCTCTATTCAATAATGTATTGCTGAGTTCAAACGTCAAGATAATAATCCTTAATTCATATATTCCTTCATGACCATGACCATGCCCATGTTTGAAGGGCTAAGTTATTCAAATGTTACACTGCCTGATTGATGTATTATGCTGCATTTCTTGTTCATGGATCTTAAACGAACTTTTGTTTTGTTTTGTGTTCATCTTTTTTCTATGCATTGTGTTGATATTTTTCACATCCATTACTGTTACTATGATCGAGTGATTTCAATACGAAAACTTGCCTCAGTGCTATAAAATTTTAAAATATATGTGTGTTTATATATATGGTTTGGTCTCTGGCTTCTTTTTTTTTCAACTCAGATGTACAGAGGTGAATTGAAGAATGGTTCCCTTGTCACTATTCGATGCCTGAAAATGAGCAGAAGCCACAGCACTCAAAACTTTATGCAACACATAGAATTGATCTCAAAACTCAGACATCGCCATTTGGTCAGTTCTCTTGGACACTGCTTCGAATGCTATTTGGATGATTCAAGTGTCAGCAGAATATTTCTCGTCTTCGAATATGTACCAAATGGGACTCTAAGGGGCTGGATATCTGGTAATCAAACAAACATACCTATCTTTATCAGTAGTTTACATATCTAAGTTGTTCTGGTATGGGAATTTATAGAAAGGGGGCTGTTTTAAGGGAATTTTAAATTTTAAGAATATTCCAGCTTTGTCATGGCTTGTGGAGTCAAAAAAAAAAAGTCATTGTACAAAGGGTCGATGGAGTTTGGAAAAAGTAGGCTGATTTTACGAAAATATTGGCATTATAACAGTTTGAAAATTTGAGTTTAAAGGGTGCATAATCTCTAGAAATAGGTTTTAGAATAAACAGGATCATATTTTTGGCCATAATAGTTGATTTTCAGTGTCTTTAAACTTATTTGCAGAGAGACACCCCAGACAAAAACTTACTTGGACACAACGCATAGCGGCTGCTATAGGGATAGCAAAGGGTATCCAATTTCTGCATACAGGAATTGTGCCGGGTGTTTTTTCAAATAATTTGAAAATAACAGATGTTTTATTGGATCAGAACCTTGTGGCAAAAATTAGCAGTTATAATCTGCCTTTGTTAGCCGAAAATATGGGAAAGGTATGAAGGAAGAGTTTTCTTTAAAGTTCAACATTCATTCTTATTCTTGAAACAAATAGTTTATGTTGACATTCAGCTTTTTTGAATGACTCAGGTTGGTACCGAGTCGTCTTCTGGTGGATCCAAGGATCTTAACAACACGAGGTTTGTGATGAATTTTTGCTTAGTTCATTTCATGTTTTGTTCCTGTTCCTTAAAAAATTTGCTAATAGAAAGGTCTTGGGTCTTGAGCACATGAACATTAATAGTCTCCGATGAGCATTTCACACTCTAAATTGCATTTCGTATGCCTTGACTAGTAAGTAGGTAATTCTTGCATGATAAAATCTTGCTGTGTTGATTTGATTTTTTCAATTTAAGGTATCCAACTCTTCCTCTTAACTGTGGCACTTTATATTGATTTCTCTTGCTTGTCATCTTATGAAATTATCCCCTACTCTTAAAGTGATTCCTACTGATTCCAGTATCTATCATTTAGCTGAACATATCAACTTATGTTCTTGTTCAATGAGTAGTCAATAAGTATGTTGTTTCCATTTCTCTGACTTTAAGCAGGTCAAAACATATGGATAAGAGTGATATCTATGACTTTGGAATAATATTACTTGAAGTCATTGTGGGGAGGTCATTCAATTCCAAGAATGAAGTGGATATTCTCATAGATCAGGTAATGGTGATTCCAAATGATATATACATGAGATAGGTTTCCTAAAAATGCAAGAGATTTTTTTCTGATGCAGTAATATTTGTAACCTATAGCCACTCATACTGCTCCTTGATGAAATCATTTTCTGTCAACCTTGGGGAGTTGAATATATAGTGTTTTGGATTGATATATTTATTCAATAGTATACCGGGATCTGATCTCTTGATAACATTTGTAGCAAATAAATATGAAAGAAGTGATATGTATCGTGCAGTGATTAGAATATAGTTTTTTTTGTTTTTTATTTTACTAGCTAATAAATTTGAAAAATATGTATTTATATACTTTAGTAGTTATTTGCAATAATAGGCACATACCATACTCATAATCGTGGATTGGCACCATGCAGCTACAAGCAAGCATAACAGCAGGGGATGCAGCCCGAAGGAGCATGGTTGATTCAGCAGTTCATAATGCATTCTCGGATGAATCATTGAAGACAATGATGGAAGTCTGCATCAAGTGTCTGCTTAAGAATCCGGCTGATAGACCTTCTGTCGAGGACGTGCTGTGGAACTTGCAGTTTGCTGCTCAGGTTCAGGATGCATGGCGGACAGACTCTCAAAGTAGTGATGGATCTCCGGTCTCAACTTTCAGTTCTCGGCGCATACAGCTTACCATCAAATAGCAACAGCTCACCATCCAACAGCAACAGTATTAAGGCACCGATATGTGGGTGCTTAACGTTTGCTTTTCAAGAACCATTTCTGAGATTTACTTTTCTGTGTTTTCTCAGTTATTCTTGCATGTCATTACAAAACCATGGCTTCGTGATGTACATTCATATGCACGTACTTGTGCGTATGTATGATGTAAATTATGGAATCCTTTTGGAATCGAGACGGTAAAATTTTTGAATGCTGTTAACACATTGAAACTAGAAGTCACTCAATTACAAACCATTTTCTTCACATTTATGAGTAGTGTAATCTAGGGTAATTAGACCATGTTAGTAGTTTGAAGACAAACAAACAGCGAAGTTCATCCAGGTTAACCTATTACACTCCTGACAAGGTCAGGTTTCGTCGCAAAGTAATCAGGATATGATTTAAACAGCAGTCAAGTATGATCTACATGCCAACTTGTTTCTTACCGAGCACAGATTAAACGAAATTTTTGTGGCTTTCATTATTTCGATGGTACAGCAATCTGCATCAACATTGATCTGTCAATCATAGCATTATTTTTTTCAGAACAATAAACAATCTCCCATACACAAGCCCACAAAAACATAAAATAATTATATAAAAGAAAAAAAGCAAACCCACATCAATTATCAAGCATGTAAAGAGTTCCCAAACAGCAATTCATAAACTCCAAATATCCTGTTCAAAGTATTTCACAAAAAAAAAAAAAAAAAAAAAAAAAAAAACTTTTCCCGATTTTTAATTTTTTTTATCACGAGAGTATTAACCACACTACCAATATTGCACAAGACATACAACTACAACAAAATACTTTATACACATGCTACAAAAACAGACTTACCGTGGATGCTTGAAACATAATATTAGAAGAATCAAGATAGATCCCTGGGCAATCTATAGTTTCAAACAAAGCTGTTCATAAGCGAAATCAATTCACTACAAAGCAATTTCCTATGAGAAATGCACACAAAAACATATGATATTGAATACACGAGGTTTGCAGAAGTCTCGCTTCAAAACCAACAATTTCAAACACCACTTCCTCACTTCTTATTTTCTTTTGGCACAACAGAGCTAGGTGGTGTTTTGTTTGGTATTCAGTCAGCTGTCCAGCTCTGCTCCACTATCTCACGCACTCTTCGGTTGTATTCCCGCTTATTTTCACTGAACATGCGAGCGGCCTCAGAATTCGCTGGAGAATTTGGGTTTGGATCACACAGCAGTGACTGCAGAAAACATAAGATGTATGATTCAATAGTGCTCATGATAAATTGAGTTACAATTTCAGGAGCACACTTGCTGTAAGGTGCAACAATGTATTTATTTATGAGAATACCATAAAGAATCAATGTCAGACAAATAATTCAACAGCCAATTTTTAAAACAAATGCTTTATCCTTTTTTTAGGTAAAGACGGGGGAAAAAAAAAATTTGTTAGTAGATAAATCATGGTAAAATCATAACTGCAGAGTACCACACTATAGTTTGAAAAAGAAAATGTGACGGTGTCTGGAAACAAATTTGTTCTAACGTGATCTATTATAAAATAAACGGACTTGGAAGACCATACTAAAAGAAAGTTGCAGTTTTGGCCAAAATTGCAAAACGGAAATTGTTTTACACAAAATGCAACAAATGTAATTCCCAACATCAGGATTGAGTGAAATGAAGCCTTTCACTATGTCTGAAACTGTATTTGACTTGAATGCTTTTGATCTTACGTAGCATTTAATCTCGTATCTCAAATCTTAGGCTTGTATTTATCCACTTGAAGTAGCTGTGGAAGTCAAATCATTGAGGAAGTTACCAACCCTATGATATTCTGCGGCTCAAGCCTTGATTGAATAAATTGTTGAAGGGAAGTAACAAATCCTATGTTTGTTAAGCTATGATGTATCAGAAGTAAGTATCAGGAAACAACTCTAGAGCAATCAAATAAAAGAAATGAAGCTAAATTGTAGCATTTCCAATCTCATTAGTTAAGCAATCCTAAATTTAGATCTTCATTTTCTCTGGTTACTAAGTGTCAAAAGCCCTAAAAATGATGTATCAATCATGAAAGCTGTTTTTTAATATGTCAATATATTGTAATCAAGTAATTACACAAATGACATAGCATTCATGAATCATGACAATTCAAAGACAATACACCAAAAAATAATAATAAATATATATATGTGTGTGTGTGTGTGTGTGTATACATATATATGTATGTATATTCTGTTATATAAACGCTATTTCCCAAATTAATTATTCCAACAACAGTTCCTTTTTTCACCCTTGATTTTCTTCTGGAAGTTTGTACGATCTCCTTTCTGCTTATTCAACAGTGTTTCTAGATTCAAAGAATGGAAATCTCAAGTTGGACGTAAGATTTGGACTTTTTTCACCTATTACATTTTTTTCACTTAGAGGATCCCAATCTTTAATAAATAGTCCTCATTGAGAAGTATCCATGTATTCAATAACTCAATATCTCCCTTGCTTCTTTTGATAAATAATCAAATGACTCCCCCCATCCAATTAAATTCAGCAAGTCATCAAAGTCTCGATAGCCAGCTGAATATAATAATTTTGTGAATGTAACAATTTGCAATTGATCAGTTGAAATAAAATTTGTACATCATATCTAAGTTCGATTTGGACTCCTAAACCAGTACACACAAACAAAAAATAAATAGTAAGAAATAACAAGAAGAAATAAATGCTTAGTAGTAAGTACCAACAAGTAACATAATTGAAAATTTTCTAATAACTGAGATTTTGTTGTGGCTGTTTTGCCATTACCATAAACAAATCTCAATAAATAAAGAGGGGGGGGGCGGGGGAAAGAGAATTTGTGGTAAATGAACTGAAGATCAAGTCAAGCTCAGTTTGGAGTGAAGTAATTGAGAGATTTTAGAAGTTAAAAATAAATAAATAGAGACATTCAAGCCATCCATATTCAAGATGTAAAATGAGGGAATTCAACAAGCACAAAATTGCTGAGATCTTGTGGGTCTAATGATATGTATTCATGGCAGTGATGTCTTGTACTCAAAAGCTTGTAATGGGCTGGATTCGCAATGTTTGAGATGAGCCTAAAAAACCCAAACCCATGTGAACTAAAGCCAAATGCAATCAACCCTACATTTCAAGAATTTTGTTAAATAATTCTTTTATTTATTTTTATATTACCAAGTCGTCATTATCCAGTATTTTCCTGCAAATGGAGGGTGCTAGGAGAGGTGGACTGATTACAGAATCTTTGACATGATTGGTAAGAAGTTGTTGTCCTTAGACGCAAACCTTCATTCTCGCACTATACAGCACTACCTTTTACCAACCCACCATCCAGAGACAGATAATTTTTTTATTTGTAGCAACAAGAAGAAATATAATAGCGTTTTAAAAAATACTGCACACTGGTTCACATTAAAGAGCCAAAAGCCAGACCTGCACCCATGCCTTTATTAATCAGGTTGAATTATAACAACCTGAACTTAACTCATTCTACAAATAGGCCTCCCAATCCCATTAGAATGTGGGACTAGATATCCATATCAACTTTTGCCATCTGAACTGATATTCCTGATTACTCTCCAATAAGCTTGTATAGCAGAGTGATCAGAACATTTCTTGTGAGGGACAAAATATGTGTCATGACTCATTGTCATTGATCGAAAAATGAAACATTGATCATTAGAATATACATTTTATTAAAATTTTAAAGTCAGTACCCTATAAAAATCAGGCTTGCCTGAAATAATATAAAAAGAAAAGGAAAAAAATAAAAAACTATGAATAAAGCTGGGAAGATGAAGTTCATGATTCTATGCAACCAAGTTGACCAACCTTAATATGAATATAAATTTCAAATATAGCAAACAGGAACATTATTTTGCAACTCGAATCATAAAAATAAATTTTATAACCACATACCACGTGTAAACGTATAAAACAATAGTGAAGGACTCAACAAAATCATTAATAGGTTTTATTTTCAGAAAATCAAGAGTCAACACCTGGATGGAAGTGAGGATAGCTGCAACATCATATATGGGACTCCACTGATTCTGTAGAATATCCAAGCAAATACTTCCATCTGCATAGACTGATCAATCCAAAATACAATCAGAAAATGACCTGCCTGTGTAAGTCCATTATAAGCATAGATTATGGTTGACGGTCAATGGAAACAGTGACACCAAGTAATTAATCTATTCAAGGCAGCAATAACGTTTCCAATGAGAATTAGAACATACTGTTTGGATGGAACATCCGAGAGACAAAACGTACTGTTGGTGGTTTATTTGGGTAGTCCTCTGTGAATTGCAAAGTCAGCTTAAACGTACCTGCACTCACAAAAATATTTGGATACTAAACAAAAAGAACAAACAGAATATTCCTGAACAAAGGTGATGCAAGAGACATCATCAAAGCATCCAATAAAAATTAGAACTGCTAATATTTGGTCGTATGCCACACTTAGTCTATGTATTTCTCCACCGAAGTTAGTCCGCTCAGTTAGATTTACCAACCCAGCTGAGCAATGCAGCATCTAACCCATGTATGATATTCCATCAGTTCATCCAGATTGCTCCAACTTACAGAAAAGCCAACTCATTTTCTCAAGACAAGTCATGATCTACAATTTACTAGTGATCTCTCATGATGTGAAATCATTATTAGTACTAAATTTTACCCATAACCTATGCTAAATGGACTTTGTTACATGTATCGTGCATTGGATGTATCAAATTCCCAAACCAAATGATACAATGATATAGGGAAGTATTCAAAATATTTCATATTTTCTTTTATTTCCCACAATAAGAGAAGTAACATAGTATTCAACACACACTTCACCAGTTTTGAAGCAATAATATAATAAAATTAAATTATTGGAAATGCTTTTTAGGTGTATGTCCAAGAAAACCAGGTGGACACATATCCCATACCCTTATCCGGGTGTGGTACTTCTAACACAGGTACTTTACTTCCATGTTACATAGCAGCATAGCCCATAACAAGGCAAATACACTTCCAAAGAAGACGTTAGTGCTTAACAATAAAGTTCAGATTTATAAAAGTCCTGAATTCATACGGTTATCGAACAGAATGCAAAACCTACCCAGATATTAGAACAATTAGAGCAGTAAGCTCATCTGTATACAATGGTAAAGAGCCTTCTTCTTCATCAACATCAACATAAGGAAAAACATACAATATGTATGCGTTCCAATTAAGATACAATATTATAAACCGGAACTCAAAAGAAACATACAACACACTTTTACTTCTTTTTTTTTTTTGATAAGTAGAAACTTACAACCATGATTGTAGTTCAAACAAAAATTAATATGATGAAAGCAATCACATGTCCTTAGCAAACTCAGCAGTTGATAAGTGGTGATCCAGATTAAAGTAACCCAATAATACCAATATAAAGGAAGCGATTAGCGATCACACATTGCGTACTTAAGCAAAAATCCAAAATTTGGAGAAAATCAAAACAAAGACCGTTTACTAGTGATTCATTATATCCCTCCTCTTTATTTATATTTCAGAAAGATAAGATAATCATTGTATCAGTTAAATGTGTAGCACTGCAAGAACAACCATTACTTTTCATATACCAATCAATCGAAAAAATAGATAGATAACAAAACCATGAATACTTGTGATCACAAGCATTATAAACCAAAACTTAACAGCAGCCACAATCAAACGTAACCCATAATCTTGATTCAATTTATGGATAGTTAAAAAATTGCAGTATAATTCCCAACTATGATATATAACAACATCCCTGTGAGTCCCATACACACGTACATACATGCATATGTTTATATATCTTAATTGAAAATTAAATTGCACGAATTGCAGAGATGAATATAACTGACCTCCATCCCAAGGAGTATCATCAGGTCTACAAATGAAAAACACAAACAAACAAAAATTGCGAAAATATTAAAAATCTCCAAAACAAGACCGTATAAACGAAGACATACAAATAAACATATATATGTATATAATAATTGTATACATACCCAAAAATGACAGCGTTCCACAACATGATGTTGTTGTCCTGAGGGGCGCCACTGATTCCGGCGGGTGGATCTTGCTGCAACCGCTTGAAATCCCTCATCAGCCTCTTCCTCGCCGGCGTCGACATGTCTCCGAACTCTTATCCCAAGATGGCTTCAACAATACGAACACGCATATAGATAGATATAGATATATAGAGAGAGGTATAAAAAATATAGAGAGAGAAAAAGAGAAAGTAGAGATCTGGGAGAATCTAACAGAGAGCAATCATGAGAGAGAGGAAAGGGGATTGATTGAGGCTTTCTTTCTCCTGTTATTCTTTTGAAACAGGTCTTGCTGAGTAAAAATAATAGCTTTTGATGTGAAATTAGGAATAAATAAAAATCATAACGAAATGAAAACACTGATATTCTATGATGGAGAACTAAAAGACAAATAAATAAATAAATAATGAAAGAATAAAAAAGAAATATAGAGAACTGAAAACGCAAATAAATAATAATGAAAGAATATAAAAATATATATATATCCAATCAACTCACCTTCGTGGTTTCAAAAGAATATATAATAAATAAATAAATAATGAAAGAATATAAAAGAAATATGGAGAACTGAAAAACCAAATAAATAAATAATGAAAGAATATAAAAAAAAATATCCAATCAACTCACCTTCGTGGTTTAAAAAGAATATATAAGTAGATTGCTTCCTAAACATTTTCTAGATTAAACTTATTTTCATTTTATTTTTATTTTTTACAATATAGTAGTACTGGTCTCTCCTATTTTACTTTTTCTATGGTATCACAATTTGAGAAATCAAATACGTGGTAGTTAGTTTTAAAAAAAAATCACCTTCTCATTCTAAGATATTTTTAATTATAAAAATGTCAAGAAATTAAGAATTTACCATGTGTAATGTATAGATTTATTTTTATTTTTTTTTACTTTTTATTTTTTATTTTTTTTTAAGTTCAAGCAAACTCGTATATATTTGTCTCTACAAATTCGAAAATTCAACTCTCTAAATTAGAGTTCATTAGTGCAAACATTATCACGAATCAGCTATTATTATGATCAATACGAGCAATTGAAATTTGAGATTAATTGTTGGACTGATTTATCTGTCCACTGCACCGACAAGTATTGAATCCAAAATTCAAATAGAAAACCACTATGCTCTATTTATGAGAAGAATTTTATAAATTTCAAAACTATATTCTGAATAGACAGGTTGAAAAAAGGAACAGAAAAGAGAAAATTACACTAGGCCATATTCAATCAACCTAAACAATCGGAGTGTATATTACTCTATTTGTCAACAAATGAGAAGTAAATGTTTTTGTCTTTCTAGCGTTGTTGAACTGTTATATCATGTGCATTCATCATCAGTTGAAATAAAAATTCATGCAAAGTAAATTACTTCTAATTTACATGTTTCATTTTGAAAAATAGAGGTTCAAGTCTCTTAAGAAAATTAAGATAATTCTTTAACTGCATAAAAAAAAATAATAAATACTTTTAATTTTAATTTTAAGAGGCTAATTCGGTGCATTAGATTTAACAAAAGTATTTTTTTTTTTTCTTAAACCAAGTATACTTTGCCCTGCAAATACTGTCTATAGGCCCTAGTTCGACAGGCTTTTAGACTAAAGAAGTTTCAGACTTTCTGGATTAGATTAGAGAGAGGAACACTGAAACCATATATGTGGCTTTTTATCTTTTATTTCTTTATTTATTTTTGTTAAGAACAAGTAATGATAGGAAATCGAAAAGGAATTATCGAATTAGTATCGAATTTGACGTGATTGGTCATTCTTATCACGTGCTAAAAAATTATTTTTGAACAATGTTTAAGTAAATGAGGTGAATAAAAACACATCAAATTCAATACTTATTTAAAGTTAATTCATCGATCATCCGTCTCCCTATCATTATTCTTTTAAAAATAGAGTGCGAGTGAATAAAAGTGAAAAACAAGAATGAGAGTACATAATTGAGTGGTTCTAAATGACAGTCGTGTCATCTCAATATAAAAGGTTGAAAAAATAACAATAATAAAAATGAAACGCAAAAATATTTGGGCAAACTATAATGACCTCCCCTGAGGTTTGGACTAATTGCAACTAAACTTGAGGTTTGTCATTTTGTCGCAATGTGACCCCCTGAGGTTTTCTCCATTTTGCAATGACCTCCCCTCCGTACAAAAAATAATATTTTTTTATTAAAAAAATTAGTTTGAAGTGACTAAAATACCCATCAACAACGTAAAAAGACGCTATTACCCTTGTAATGCAAACAAATGACAATAAAATTCATATTAAATGGACCAAACTACCCATAAAACACTCAACAGTGTCTCTCTCTCTCTCGCCCGCCGTCACCACTTCACTGCCACCATCACTTCTGCTAAATCCATATGTATCACCCAAATCAAATAATGTATTTTGTGTGCAAAATTCACACACGCACACACATATAATGCATATCAAATAATGTATTTTGTGTGCAAAATTCACACACACACACACACACACACATATAATGCATAAATGTTAACAAATTCATACAAATTCATCTGTGTTCTCTCTCCTCTCCACCCACTGCCGCCACCATCTCGTTCCTCTCCACCTCATCTTCTCCACCCACCACCGTCACAACCACCATCTCTCTTCTCTCCACCTCATTTTCCACCCTTCACTGCCGCCATGGCCATGATATTTTGTTGATCGGTATAAATTATTTTGGTGGTTTATTTTCTGGGTTTGGCTTTGTATGTTATGATATCGTTCTCTATCAATTTTTTTTTTTAAATTTCTTACTTTGTTTTTGCAGTACTTTGAATTTCAAACCCTAATTTCTTTTGCCCAACAATCTATAGATTGAAGCTAATCACAACCATAATTTTGAGACTGATCTGGTTTGGCTTCGTCTCCGTCGTCGGCTCCGGCATCTTCACCAATCACCATCTCCGGAAAATAAGCTTGTACTGTCGGTACGGTGGGTGTCCAATTCAATCAGCGTCCCTCACCTTTTTGTTCTTCTCTTTCGCGGTACACTGGGTGTCCAATTCCGGCGACGGGGTGCGATACCAGGTTCGGGATTCTTCTCTAGCCACAGTCGATTGGGTCTGTCGGGCGACGCGGGTAGCATTCTTCTCCGGCCACGGTTTGTTGGTTGCTGTATTGCATCGCTTGCGGGTTCGGTGTTGGAATTGTGTTCTTCTCCAGCCGTGGGTTGCTGCGCCGTCGACGGTTGGTGCGGTTGTCATCTTCTTTTCTTCCAGTGAAGTGGATGTCAAAATTCGGCTGGTTTGTGGGTCGCGGTCAAATTCCGGCGCCATGGTTTGAGTGAGTCCGATTTCGATTGGGATTCGTCTCCGGCGGGGTTTGTTGGGTCTTGCTGGTCTCGGTGGCAACCATCACAAAGTATGTGTTCGTATATATACATATATGTGTATATATATGTTCTTATATATATATATATATTGATTAAGTATAACAATTATTGGGGGTAAAAGAGTCATTTGATATATTCAAATATTTGACATTTTAAATAATATAATAATGAGGGTAAATAAGTAAATTTATACCAAATTCTGACATGGGAAGGTCTTTGCAAAAATTTGGCAAACCTCATATTTAGTTGCAATTATGTCAAACCTCAGGGGAGGTCATTATAGTTTGCCCAAAATATTTTCCTTTCCTAACAGCAAGAACATTGCATTTTCAATCCAACTAAACTAACCATGGATTATACGAATTAGATTAATCGAATTTGAAAAAGAAAAGCCAAATCCAATCGTATTTCAATGAGAACCAAAATCTACTAAAAGCATGTATTCTAGAAAGAAAGAAAAAAAAAAATTTAAAATCCCCCAATTTTTTTTTTTCTTTTAAAGAGGCACAAACAATGGTTACTTAATTTTAATCAAACAAAATCAAGTATTAAAGCAAAATTTAAAAGGTTAAAGCCCTCATTTATCAAAATATAATCAAAGCCAAAAGCTATAAAAGAGAAAAGGAATCAATATGATCTATTTCAGTCATTTTATGATTGGAAAAAAAAAAAAATATATATATATATATATATATATATATATATATATATAGTCATTTTCTTAACCCAATATTTGGATTGAAAAATAAAAACCCAAATCAAAGATCACAACACATATTTAACACAATCTAATAAAATGAAAAAAAGAGACTATAGCGGTGGATTTGATACATTTTAATGACAACGCTGAATGGATTCATAGGTGGGTTAGATACAGGTAGCAATTGAGTTTCATGATTTCTGAGCTTCAGGCCCCAAAATACCATTCACAACAGAAGTAGCAACCACGACCCCAATAAACTCTGCCACCGCCACCGCACCAGCCTGGGCCAACCCCCCGGATTCGATCTCCTTCTCCACCGTTTCGATCTCCTTCTCCACCGTTTCGACCTCCTTCTCCGCTGTCTCGATTCCTTCCTTGAGCTTCTCCTCCGCTACCTCCTCCACTTCAACAAGCCTCTTTCTCAGTCCAAACAGCGGAATGTCGGCGGCCGTTGACGGCAGTTCCACGGCCTTCAGTGTCGTGGTTGCCGTCAACAAGAACAACAAATTTCTCCGGCCGGTGAATGCCACGGTGCGAGCTGGCGGAGCAGGTTTAGAACTAGTGGTGAACTTGCAGGAGGGAGAAAGGCCATTGTGCACGCGACGGGGTGAGAGAGTGTGGAGTAATAGATGTGAGCTTGCGGTAGCCATGGCTTGTTCTGGACACTAAGCCCTATCCTATCTCTTACAAGTTCAACTTATACATATCATGTGGTCTGGTGATTCCTGATGGCCACAATGACACGTACAACAAAACTTTTTACATAATTTGTTATTGTACCAATCCACAAATATCTCCTCACATTTTTAAAACCATAAGGTTAAGGTTGAAGTTAATGAATCAGGATTTATTTATTTGTCGCGTTATGAAATTTTGCGTGCGTGTCAGTAAGAATCAAGAAATTTTATCCATTAGAATACCATTCTCACGCTTGCCAACCTAACTTTTTTACCATTTAACCAATTCCTATCCAAACTCTTAACACCAAACCTTTCCTTTCTCCTCAAATATTTCATAGCAACAGCCATCTCCATATTAACAGCAACTATATTTTAATACCATGTGTGGATGTACTAAAGCCACTTCACATACTCGTCATCTAGGTGGCCCCCACGAATCACTACTCCAAAGCAGGAAAGACAAAATCACAATATTACTCAAGGTTAGGGCGAGGAGTATAGCAACCCAACCATGAATCATCGATCGAAGGACCCAGAACCTAGATTCGACCATGGCATCAATCGTCGATCGATGGGCCCAGAACCTCGATCCGACTCAACCTGAAATCGTCGATCGACGGGCCCGGAACCTCGATTCGACCAACCACGAATTATTGATCGACGGGCCCAGAACCTCGATCCGACCAACCACAAATCGTCGATCGACGAACCCAAAACCTCGATCCGACCCAACCACGAATCGTCGATCGACGAGCCCAGAACCTCAATCCGACCGACCACAAATCGTCGATCGACAGGCTTAGAACATCGATCCGACCTGACCCGACCACATCGTCGATCTAGGGGTCTAGGACCTCGATCTGATTTATCCAAGTCATCGACCGCCGACCCTAGACCTCGATCCAACCTGATCACGAGTCATCAATCGATGGGCCTAAAATTGTCCAACTTAACTAGAACGAAAAGTAAATGGTAGGACTTACTTCGTTATCAAGGGGAATGCATAAGCGATTTTGGAATGGAGGATAGAAAGTTAGTCAAGTCTTGCAAAGGAAGACCCAAGTTGAGGATCAGAGTGAGAAAGAGCCGAAGTATGTATCGCTACCGTTAGGCCTGATCCTACCTGAGTCATTTAAGGGGAACATTACACTCATTAAATGGGTCCTAAAGAATAGGAGTTAGGGCAGTGTGATCTTAATGATTATGTGAGCCCTACCCTATTTAGAAGGAGGCCCAATAAGTGCTAATAAGTCCCTCTTCAGTGACCTTAGGCTATAAAAGAAAGGGATGAAAAAAGGGTTAGGGGCAGACAACTTAGACCATCGACTCCTGGCATCATTTCTCCTACCATCACTCCAATCCCTGCTTCTGGGACTAGCTTTCTCTCCCTTCCATAGATCTTCTGTTTTCCTCGCATTGTCTTGAGTGATATACCCCCGACTCTGACTTTTCAACGGTGTCCTAGGACGCCCATATCTACACCATGTAACATATTTATCAACAAAAAATAAATTCTATACAATGTAACACATTAGGAATACAGAAGTAGTTCAAATGCTACCCAAAACGCAACAAAGAGACTCTGACTTGTTTGGACAATTAGAACCTAATACGGTAACACCCTTACTGAATATATATGTTTTTTTTCCTTCTACCAGTCTTGAAACCTTTGACTTGTGGTTTGGAAATCAAGACAACATAGGTAGACCAATAATATATATGTTTCATTACCTTCCAGCTGTTATGTATGTTCTGAGGGCAATATTCCAAAACAGCCAGAAGTGCCACAGAAACACTGCGACCCTTTTGAACTAAGCCTTGCGTCCCCATAGCTAAAAGTGAGCTCTTCATCATGTTGTATATCTCTAGAAGCAAAAAAACAAAGGCGAGGTAGCAGAGCACCTGAGCTTCTCACTAATATTGTTGATAGGTTGCCACCATCACAAGAATGGTTTATGTATCGTGCAACATTTCCTATTCGAGTGGCATCAATGTTCATCCTCAAACATGCTTTTCCAGATGGAAGATGCTCCCTCACAACCAAAAGAGCAGAACAAAACCTCCCACCCGATTTAAGTTCATCATATATTCGTTGCCGCCTTCTTGTTTCTTCAGTAGTCAAAAGTTCACCTTTTTTTGAGCAAATTTCACAAAACAAAGTTCAAAACACAAATTTCAAAGGATAAATATATTCATATATTCAACAAAGCAAAAGAGAATGAAAATAAATAAATAAATAAATCACTCATAAAAGCACACTATTTGAAAGAAAATGACGACTTCTATTTTACTGTTACCAAAATGTATTAAAAAAGCAAAAAAAAGGCACACAGTCCAGAACCAAGGTTAAGATTGCTGTTAACAAAAATCTTACCGTCAAGTAAACTTGAGAACAACTACAGTTGGAAGAATGATATCTTATGTTAGTGATGAACAAAACTCAAAGGGGGAAGGGGGAAGGTGGGAGGTCCATGCACTGCATAAAAATAAATTTTAAAGCAATAATTAAAAAAAGCAAACAAAATGAACGGCTAAACCTCCAACCCCCTTCCCAAAAAATTAAAAGGAAAAAGAATGACTCACCAAAGGCTGTAGTCCGGTAGTACTTCCTAGTACTTCCTGGCCTTCCAAAGTAGAAGGGTTCAAGTCCCCATAGGGGCAAGTGGGTGTGCGAATGTATTTATTGCCAAGGTAAAAAAAGAAAAGGTTCACCATCTAGATGCAAGCTCAAGAATTACCATGAAAAATACACTCAACTGGTAATAGGGAATACATTGAAGACTGAGTCACTGATCTATAAAAGTTAAAATGGGAGCTATGGCATTAAACACCATGGTGGTCTTTGTTGAAATTGGAACTTGGAAGACAAAACAGGGACCAGTACATAGCGGATTCAAATCTTGAGTTAATGGTGATTATTGTGCAAATTTCTGTCTGTTTCTTTTACCATTAGCTTTTAGTCTTTCTTTATTACTTATATGTTATAAATGAATTGGAAAAAGAAAAAGACTATTTTTTCTAAATAAGCTTAATTGGAAGAAAACTAGTGCTAACAAATAATCATTAGACTACTACTTACACATCACTACTTTTTTTAGTAATTCTCAGTGGACATTTGCAAGTCGTATGAAATATCCAAAGGTACGAACCACCACCAAAGTATACTTCCAGAATATCCATACTGAAATTATAGTTTTCAACATATATATATTGATACGAACAAAACTCGTCATCTAAGAAATCGAAACAGTAATTATAAATATGGTCAGATGATGATACTTCATCTGTTAAAAATATCGCCTCGTGAAGTATGCCAAATAACAAAAAGAGTTAAGTGTATGTTTTTTCTTTTTTCCCTCCAAACACGAACAACATGAAGATAGAAAGTACTTCTAATAAGTTACTTAGTATGCAGTGACACTTTGTTAATTTGTCAATTTCTCTAAAAGTAGGAATCATGACAACTTCAGGTTCAACCTACTCTCACTCCAGTATCTACTTAATGGAGTTAGAATCGCAAGGGTAGTAAAGTTAGCATCATTTGAGGCCCAAGGGAGAAAATGTAACGCCAACTAAAATCACTCGATCAGAAGCAACTAAACACTATATGCTAATTCAAAAACATTCTAAGTAACAAGACTACTGAAATAAAATAGTAGAACAAATAACTTAAATCAAGTATGCATCCTTTTAAGAACTCATATATGCATTTATGTAGTCATAACTCACAAGATAATATGTAAACGATAAACTCATGGACTAAAACATCAGCATATGAGATTATGAATGGAACCCTTTTTGTTGGTTGAGATAATGACTCGAACTCACGCCAAAATGAAAAATTCCAAATTCATCAAAATATGCTCCCCCAAACATTAAACCAAAGGCAACTACTTACCCAAATAAATAAATAAACAAATACCGGGAAAACTCAACACTTGGTGTTAAAACAAACACCCCAAAGACATAATTTAAATACTCATGCAAGAGGAAATTCTTAACAGCAAATAAATTTTCCAAATGGTACATTTTGATGGGTGTATATATAGATTGTAGAGAAGTTTATATAGAAGGTTGTGGAGGGAAAAATCGCCTTACCAATAAACATTAGCCATGTCATTATATAAATTGTGATCCATTTCTTCTGGGCCACATAATTTTTAAAGCCCAGCTTGACAAAGCCCAAGAGAACTATCATCAGCCCATCACCAAATCAGCTCTATCTATCCTCGGTCAAATATACAACTAGGATAAATATTATCCAAGATTCGGATCAGATCAATTACGTTATCGAAGGAGCCTCAAGGAAGAATCTATATGAAGCAAGAACCCTTATAGAAGAAAAGCTCCACATAGAAGAATTTATATGAAGAAATAATCTTATATAAAAGAAAAGCCTTATATGGAACAAAATGTAGAGGGATAAAGGGTGAATAAATCGTAGCGGTCAAGCAAGACGAGCCTTACCATAACTTGTCATTATATCTTGTATAAATAGAGGCATGAGCCTACAATAAAAATCATCAAAAATTCTCTTAATATCTATTGTGCATTGTTTTTATTATTTGGGCAAACTACAATGACCTCCTTTGAGGTTTGGCCTCATTGCAACTAAACATGAGATTTGCCATTTTTTTACAAAGACCCCCTTTGTCAGAATTTGCTGTGAATTTACTTATTTACCCACATTATTAAATTATTCAAAATATCTAAAAATATCAAATGACTATGTTACCCCTATACTTACAACCACCATTTTTTTTTTTTCATTTTCTTCCTCCCATCCTTCTCTTTCCTCTCTCTTCTCTCTTCAGCCGCTACCCCACCCCCAATCGCCACCACCACTCAACCTCCTACCACCACCATCTCTCTCCACCAGACTTATTTTCACGTTTCAATCCCAATTACGACACAAGATATATATATAAATACACACAAATACCTATATATATATATATATATATATATATATGAATATGTATATGTATATGTATGGAAATTTATATCTCAAAGCGGGTTCATGTCGAGACTTAAGCATCTTGGTGTCAGTGGCGGTAGGTGGCGGAGACGAGGACAACGTTGGTTGCGGAGATGAGGACAGCGTTGGTGGAAATTTATATCTCAAAGCGGGTTCATGTTGAAGCTTCTTATTGCTTCAATTGGGTTCACTCTATACCATTCATCTCATCTCCTCCTCTGTTAACAAACCCACAATCCAAACAACCCCCAAACCCTAACCCAATTTCAGAATTTTTGCCACCTATGCCATCGGCGAGGGCAAAAAGATTGCGGTTGAGACACCCACAACCTTTGGCTTCAAAATTTTGATGGAAACATTCACAGTTGATGAGATCAGTCGAGATGAGAGAAGATTGGTTCGCTTGGAACTTCTACAAGTCGTTCTCTTGGGCTTCGGCGATGGTGATGACCAAAGTGATGAGATTGGACTTCGGCGATGGTGGCTAGTAGCAACGATATGATTCTGGTGTCGGCTGGGGTTATATGTGTGTGTTGTAGGTGTCACGAGAAGAGAAGAAGTGAAGGCAACGGCGTCAGGGATTTGTACCAGAGGTCGGAGGTGTCGATGGTGTCGAAGAAGAGATTGTAACCGTTCGATAGCTGGGTTGCAATCACATTCTCAAGTTCTTGCACGCAATAATTGGCTGCGCTATTTCGTAGGAGCCTAAAATCTTCTTCTTGTACACAACAATCCCTTTTATATTGATCCGTTCCAAACCCAGCAAGTGGTAATCAAAGCAGTCCAAAGAATACATGGTGGCGGCTGCGGTTGAGGAGTGGCGGTTGTATAAGGAGTTGTATAAGGAGGGAGATGATGGCGGCAATTGTGGTTGAGGAGAGATGGCGGTGACGGCTGTGGTTGGGGAGAGGTGGCGGCGGATGTGGATGGGGCGGTGGCAGAGGTGGAGGAAGGAGGAGGTGAGATTGTGGCAATGGAGAGAGGTGGAATGCTAATTTGGAAAATGAGATGAATTAGAAAAAATAGATGGTTGTTATCAATTTATTATTAATTTGTTTTAAAAAAATAAATGTTGTTTTAATTAAATATAATTAATAGTCTTTTAAATATATTTTGATTAAATTTTAATTGTTGTAATTACATTTTAATAAAATTATTTGCATATAATGTATATGTTTATATATAATGTATGTGTATCCGTATATAAATGATAAAGACCTGTTTGGATTTGCATTTGAAGTTTAATTTCATGCTTTAGTCTCATTTATATATAAAGGGTAATTTGGTTCACTAATGCATTGGTTTTTTTTTTGTTATTTCATGACACTATAAGGGTAATGAGGTCTTTTACACTTAATTGATAGGCATTTTAGTCACTTCAGCCAAATTTTCGGACAAAAACTATCATTTTTCGTACCCATGAGAGGTTATTGCAAAATTGGGCAAACTTCAGAAGGCACGGTACAAAAAAATGACAAATTTCAGATTTAGTTATAATTAAATCTAACTTCGTAGGAGGTCATTGTAGTTCTTATCATTTTCATCGTGTGTTTTGCTTTTATTCTACAATTTATCATAATTGAAGAATTTTTGTACCTACAAAATGATTAAGGTATTAATTTTCACTAACTCTTTTCACCTTGTCTTTTGAATCAACATGTATAAGACTCTAAAATCAATTATTCATCTTAATGAAACCTAAATATGAACAACTAAGCCTAAATCTAAGCTATACTCCTTCAATAACGTCATGATAAAGAAAACAGAACTCAAAATCACAACAAATGAATTTATAAACTGGCAATATATATATGTGTGTGTGTAAAGTACACCATCTTACCTGCATACTCGCAAACAAATTGACCGTACCGAATCAACTGATCGGCATGCAAACCCCAACCTTTCCTCCTATCTTTCACGATTTTCAGTCGAAGTGAGACCCCTCCCTGAGTCAACCGATTCCCACACTCCAATTCGCAATTACAACTCGGTCCACACTCGCGAGTCAACTCGACCGAGTTCAGAAACGAGCAAGGACACCCCAAATCCCCGTCACACCTCTGACAATCGCACCCACAAGCATCCTCAACCGTTGCAGAGGCGCAGGTGGGAAACGTTCCGGGTAGATCCGAAGAGCAAACGGGTCGAACTGAGCCCCAATGTTGACGGAAACGAGGTTGGTCGAGCCCTAGGGTTTGAGTCGGCGTGTAAACGAAGTACTCATACGGCTGGTCGTCGACGGTGTTGACAAAAGGGATCGGAAGGTTCTCCAAGGCTCTGGAAGAGTCGGAGGATCTTCCGGCGGTGATGGATTTGGAGATGCGGCTTAGGGTTTTGCAGGTCGATGAGATGGACGCTAGTTCGGTGGGGTGTAGCCATGGGAAGATGAGCTCGGCGCACTGGAACAGCGGATTTGGTACGCTGCCACGTTTCTTCATCATCTCTGCTCGGTAATCCTGTGATTAGATTCTGCTGATTGGGTACGCGAAAAAAGGATTGGGCCTGCCGTATCTTTCGGACAGAAATATATGTAGTCAGATAAATTGGGCCTTTATTGGATTTATTGGTCTGTCCAGAAGAAGTTAACGCAAACTTTGTTGGGTCTTTTGTAATACCAAGCTATTTTCTTTTTAGACCGGCCCAGGAAGATAACCTATCTAATTCGATTTAAAAAAAATTACGAAACCTTTGCCTGTAATGTCCATGAAAAGATAGCGACAATAATAAAAAAGAAAAGTGATAAATAATTCCACATTTGCTTAAGAGCAGGATCTTGAAACCTTGTCCCACTTAAAATGGGATATTTCAGCCTTGTCCCACTTAAAATGGGATATTTCAGTGTTCATTATAGAAAATGTCCCATCATGAACCTGGCATGGCGATGATATTTAAGAGCTTTACAAGTATATTTAAAAAGCTAAATCTATATTTTTTCATTTTCTGGTGTTTGGTTATCATAAAATATTTACAAAGAAAAAAAATATATTAAAATTTAATAAAAATAAATTATCCATCAATTTTTGACAAGTTATTTTACATATCCAGTCTGATAAACTCGACCTCAATCTCGACGTAGACCTTTTTGCCAAACATCGACAAAATAAAAATAAGAGAATATTTTACCTGAAAATAAAATATATTTTCCAAAAAGAATATTTTATGTCAAAACAAACTGAGCCTAAATATAAGTACACCTTTGCCTGCTACACAAATGTTGCTTCACATCGCATTTTCTTCTACCTATTTATTTATATATGTAATTCTTTTTCATCCTAATGTAATGAAGAGGCCTATTAAAACATATAGAAGATAAATCACCATGCAAAGCCTTTTAATGTAACATATCTTAGACAGAAAATAATTATAATAATAATATATTAATCAAAAAATAAAAGGAAGTGTGTGTGTGTGGGGGGGGGGGGGGGGGGCGTTTGCGAGCGAGGAGAAAAAAATTGTGTAAAACTAAAAACCCACCTAGCAGTTCGTTAATTCCCTGGGCTTTCCAAGCAGGTGGAGGATATACTGGCCAAAGTCTGGAATGTGATTATAATTTGAGTACAACTATACCATTTATACCAAAATAATATATGTACATACATAACAATTAAATATGACTCGCTTAACCCATCAATTCCTTACTTTTAACTTGATTTAAGGTCAAAATTGGTGTTGTTGTTGTTGTGTACTGTGCATCAGAATGTGGTTACAAGACCTATACCCAGCTCCTCTGCAAGCTCATCCCATACAGGAAGGAGTGTCAACACAAAAAGAAAGATAGCCACCCCAAGAACTGTTTTCCTCCAGGTTCCAACTTCCGTCACATCATTTAAGCATGGTTTCTCTGGAGTCCTCTGCACATTTGCACGAAATTAGGTTCACATGAAATCATTTTGTTTTCCAAAAATTTTCCTTCTAGTCTAAGTAGAACAAAATCTGCATTTATTTGAAACGAACTTTCTACTTTTCCTACATTTCTTCTTCTTTGCATACCTGACATATCAGCACATACAGTCCCCAAGGAAGTGATAAAGGTCCACCGAGCTGAAAAGACAGAATAAATCACAAATTTAAAAATTAGTTCAGAAAAATAAAATTTATTGTAATAGTGTCAAATGTACAGAATAAATCTTGATAATATCACTAAAAAGGCAAAAGGGGCAGAATACAAGAAGTCAAGAACCAAATCCTTAAGAGTAAATAAACCTGCACGAAATCAAGATGCAAAGCTAAATAACAGATGAACAGGCAGTCTATAAACATTATGCTGTGAAATTTTATATCTCATATACTTAAGTAGAATAACAACAGATTTAAAATAAAAGTATATTTGAAAGCATAAATCTCCTTATGTCAACTGCATTAAGCAGTCCTTGATGATGAGCAAAATTATGGGTTTTTAATGCACAACATATACAAGAATTATGACAAATTACACAAATTGATAGAAATTTAACAAAGCAATTATTTCTTCATTGACAAAAGAATAATGGAGGGAACATGAAGAAATACCACCCCCAATCCAAGTAAGGTGTATGTTGCCAAACCAAATCCAATCAGCGAATTTTTTCCAAAAGCACCCTGTGAAGCATGAAATCCAAATTCAATATAAAAGTTATGCAAAGCTATTTTAAAGAAATCCTACAGTTATTAACTACCCCAGAAAATTTATTAGCATTACTTTCAGTTATAAAATTAATTAAATAATTTATCCTATACAACTGGTATAAATGACAATGAATAATTGAGAGATTAAGCAAATTGATCTTTTCAACATTCAATACAAGTATTCCAATAATTATATATGGGGGTTTAATAGATGCCCTATCGAATGGCTTCACATTTTTTTATGAAAATTAGTTATTAATACGAAAGTTGAGACTATTTGCCAGTGGAAGTCCTTTAACAATTTTGGAACTAGTCAAATTGACTTGGGAAAAAAGAAAGCCTTCAAATAATAAGAAGACAACATTAGCACGAGGACCAAGAAATGATAAAAATATTGATGGCAAGCTCACCGAATACGTAACATTTAACTTCCTTGGAAGAACTTTCCTCTGTCATAGTCATAAAATACTCTACATCTAGGAGATATTTGTTCCCTCCTATAATTTTTTATTTTTTATTTATTTTATATAAAACTCACTCTCTTCAAGGCTATTCCAAGAAGTAGATTTTTTGTTTGTCCAACTCCTTATAACTTTCCCCTGAATAATTAATGCTGATGATGAGAGCAATGAGAGGATAGAGGAACAAGGGAAACAAGAGAAAGGAGGAAAGATAAAGCAGGAGAAGAAAGGTGATATGTTCATTTCTTCCTCGGCCACTTGATCATGACTGTTGACTTTTGATACTTTTTCTCGTCAGCCATTGGAATGTCTTCTACTGGCTAAATGCCATACTCCGAATCTGTACTGAGCACACCTACGCGAAATGCTAGGAGAAGACTGGAGAAAGACTTAACAGTTTGTGTTATTTTGCTATAAATAAATAAAAAAGGCAGCTTTCAGACTTGAACTTGGGTTTTCCATTTGTTTTGTTCTTTTCATTTTCTTTTAATTTTTTTGATGTGTTAAATCTCCAAGAAGATGCCTAGATCCAAATCTTTCAACAACATTCAGAATGATCTTTCAGTGTGTCAGCTTCTAAGTTGTGATTTGCTTATATAGAAGTGAAAATTTTCATGTGTAAATCATTAAATCTTTTTAGGATTCTCAATTCTATATGTTGATTGTATTGACTCAGAATTAAGGGTTGATTGTTTCAGGTCGGCATGTTGATTGTGTTGATTTGGAACTAAGGACTTCTTCATTAAATATAAAAGATCCTGAGCTTAATCAAACTTGAGTATAAGCTATAGCCAAACGATTGCAAGCTGAGATCGAACAGGACTAGTGACGCTTGACTCAAGATCAAGCCAAACCTAATCAGCCCAATGCTCCTCATCTTGGTTCATTTGCAGCCCTATAAGTCTGCATTAGAAGTGTTCGATCCCTTGTGACATCAGATTGGAGTGCTAGGTCGGTGAAGAGATAAGAGAGAGTCACACTTGATCTTGCACAGGGTTTTTATTGCATTCAGTTTAAAGCAAAAGAAAAACATAACAGATTAAGATACAAATCAAAGAAAGCTTTGGATGAGAATCTCAAAGAGCCGTCTTTGCAGCCTTTGTAAAAAAATCTACTACCAAGACAAGTAGCTATAGCATCCTGTTTTGTCCAGCTCAACCCAAGAAAACTGGATTGATGGTGTCTGAAATCCATGCAAAAGTCAGTTTTGGAAATGCCAAAATAAATGTTATATTGTTATGACCTTCCTTCTTGTCCAATCAGACCCAATTGATAGACACCAACCCTAGATTTAATCAACGTAAATCTCCAATATGTCCAGTGATTTTGACACGAAACTTTAAAGCCTTAGATTTTTATAATATGCAAGCATATAAGAGGGATAGGTAGCACATAACTTTGCAAACCCTCAAATATGCATGCATATAAGAGGCATATGTATCAACCTTATTATCTTTGTACCTCTTCAAGTTGCTCCCTAGAAGTCTTGTGCATCATGACCTATCCCTTCCCTAAGAAGCTCCAGATGGTGTTAATTATAGGAAAAGTTTGCGTATTTTTGAGGCAATAGTTTTAACTTCTGTGGGTACAAGCTCCATCATGCTTCTTGATTCAAAACTAAGCCTCAAAACTATAACTTATCAGACAACGTAAGGAAAAGATACCTGCACAGCTCTTCCACCATCAAGACATCCCACGGGAAGCATATTAAAAGCTGATGTAGTTAAGCCACACCTGCAACATACACTCTAACAGTAAGCATCTGATACATCAATATAGCAAATAAATGTCTGAGAATGGTACATCACCAGCCTGCGATTACAAGAGGATGGATTGAAACCGTCGCCGCGTGCATTGCTCTAGAAATTCATATTAGAAAGACGTCAATTATTGATGTAAGGACAACAAGAAGGACATGAGAGTTTAAATAATTTTATTAACATACTAATAAGAAGCAAGAATATATTATAACAAGAATTTTGGACAATGATGACGCAATAAATGAGATAATATTGATGCTTTGGCTTTACAGTGGCGGTTTTTTTTTTTTTTTTTTGGGGGGGGGGGGGGGGGGGGGAGCTTACTCAAAAAGATTTTGCCTTTTCAGTGACTGGAAAAAAAAAAATGGAAGTCTCCTTTGAGTTGAGTTGCTTTTCCAGGAAACAGGTCCAGGCATTACAAGGAACCCATGCAGGATAGTTGCTTCAAAGTGCAATCCAGAAGGGTATCATAGCAATAGATTTATAAATTCATTTATAGTTTGCATGCTCACAATTTTTTCAGCCAAAATAAGCTATATAAAGTTGAAGGAGAAACGTACGCATAACCAAGAGAAGCTCTACTGATGAGTCCAAGAAGCAAAGAACCTTGAAATAGCATGCTAGGAACCTGCACTAAATCTCCCGCAGCATCTGGATTTGATGAAAGCAGCAGGCCAACTGCAAACATTGAAAAAGACAATGCAGCACCAGCAATCGGGCCAGCAAGAGATATGTCGACTTTTGTCTTTCGATCAGGAAGAATAGATTTGAACTACAGGAGCCCCGCACTTATAGTTAATGAGCAGAAATCAATAGGTGCAGTATAATTTAACCCAAAAAAAAAAAACTTGATATACCACGGAATATTTCTCATTGTTGGTTAGCAGATACATGACATCATTCCAATCAAAAGGGAAAACACTAATAGATATGGACTATGAGATCATCAAACAAATGCTCAGTTTCAATAAAAATATAGATTGTCAAAAACAAAACACCAAGAAATCAGGCAAGTGTTATCACAAGAAAATGTTGTTCCCAGCAAAGGAATTCTCTTTTATCCGATCAATATAGACTGAACACAGAGTCGAATTGTAGAGACTTGGATCACCCTATCACTACACCAAAGGGACCACATAAAACAGTTGAAGACACCAAAAATTTTTAAATGAAACATATTTTGTTTAAACTGTCGCCAGTCTGAGAAACAAATATTAATAGCCCATAAAAAGTAAACAAAAATATTACAACTATACATTTGAACCAACTTTTGGTCTACTGTATCTATGTTTAAGTCATGTAACATAAGTTGCAGATTCTCTAAGGTTTTGCCATCAGTAAAAAAATACAAATTATTTTCATTCATAATCATTTTATGAGAATTATTATGTATATCAATATGAAACTAAGGTCCTCAAATAATATTGTACAAAACTAAGTGAAAGCTTAAAGATTAACGGGAGAACTTTTGACAATAAGATATCCATGTAATGAGTACAGGCTGTTTGATTATATGACTGACATATGCACAGTAGTGATATGAAGAGAATATTGGTTCTCAGCCATGTTACAAGGACTTGAAAAGATATCAAGTGCAAGTGTGTGTCCATACTAGCACTTGAGTTGAAGTATATTGTACACACCTTCCTTACAACTGAAACATAATAACAGAAATTTCACACTAATAATATAACAAAAACATATACTTATTCCGATATTTAGTGTTTCCTTGATTGTAACACTTCATCCTCACCATCAGGGAAGGGGGTTGTTAAACATAAGATAATTGATTAAATAAACTACATATGCTCACCTGAGTAATTGCACCAAAGCTGCCGAGAGTAATGTTAGGAATAAAGTATGGAATGCTCAGTTTTACTTTCTTTGGGAAAGCAGCCAGAAAATGCCCAACTTCCTGCATAACACCAACTTCTTCATTTACAAATAAAATAAAAATTGACGACATAAACAAATTTGATAAACTACTTCAAAGATTAAGACCAAGTGGAACAAGTTATGTCTTTTTCTTGTTTGAATTTAATACTGGTAATCAAAACACGTGCGACTTTTGACATTCTCTTCATTCAAATTTTAATGCATATTGTAGCTGGCTGGAGGGATCAACGACACGTGTAAATTTTAATAATCACCAACCCAAGACAGGTGATTTTTTCTGTGGATCTACAAAAAGTAAATGACAGAGTATGGCACTGTAACTTTAGATTAAGAAATTTTTATCGAGAGTACGAGATCCTAATTAGGTACTTCAGTGAACTAAGCATCTTTTTAAGAAATAAGAGCACATAATTAGTAAAGTATATCAATTATCAGATTTGCTGTTTCAACTTATGGATATGGCACTGTAGCTTTAGATTAAAATATATATATATCGAGAGTACGAGATCCTACATAGATACTTAAGTGAACTAAGTATCTTATTAAGAAATAAGAACACTTATAATTACTGCAGCATGTCAATTATCAGACCTGCTGTTTCAACTGATGAATTTGGTGATATCCCAATCACAAACATCATTTTCAGCACTTTCAATTTAGAATCAATAAGGGACAGAGCAACAAACATGTAGCCCATAAAAATTGAGTTGCTTTGCTGAAACATGTGGTTCTGTAGTGTATATGATTGATTGGTTCCAACCGAATGAAATGGAAAATCATAAAAAATAATAATAATAATCATAATGAGCTATAATTAATGAGGTTGGTGTTCAATCAACAAGAAACTAGATTTTGATATGACATGTGCTGCTGAAATAAATATTTTAAGATTGTTAAGTGAAAACAATGTAAGAATAAGAGATTATTCTTATAGTTCAATTTGGTTGAACTTGCAGTTAATTAAACAAGAAAGTTAATGAATTGCCAATTATTTTGACTTCAAAAAGGTGCCATTGCCAGAAAAAAAGTGTGCTAATGCAAGCTGAAGGATCTAAACCCCAAATGTCATTAAAAGTGTGCGGAATTTAATGCTCTCACTATAAATTTACTTTCTACTGTTAATAATGACAATCTAAATTTCAATATTTCTATAATATTTTTTTTTTTTTTTTTTAAATTTCAAGTTCAATTTCATAACTGCATAATCTTATATAAGAAGTTTAAACAAATCCCGTTCTCTTTTTTTTTTTTGTTAGGTAAGTACTCACACACATTTCACAAATTGCCCACGACGGGGCTCAAACCCCTCACCTCCCCTTTGACAGAGGAGAGGTTATACCATTGGCCTAATGGCCCATTGGTAAACAAGTCATGTTCTTCATCAAGCATAGAAGGAGATTGTAATCCACAAGATAAAGTTCACCTAAAAAAATCATTCAATTATTATAGCAATATAAAGGGGGAGGGAAGGAAGCAAAAAAAAACTTTTTTCATACATGAAACAGCTGAACCCCCAGCACACCATATGCTAGCGGCAGAGCGGCCTCCACGAACGGATAGAGAAGCTGCATATCTGGTGGTTCGATGGCGTTTGGATCTGTGAAGTACTTAACTACCTCAGGTGGAAGTCGATTTAACTGCTTCGTGAAGAATTGCAATGAGCACAGAAAAATCTACCTTTAATTACCCATTAATAATGATCCAAAAGAAATGAGAAATGGTAAGGACTGCACAAAATACATCTAAATCAAAAGCATAATGTCAAACTAGACACCAAATTAATATACCTGAGATGCAATTCCTAGCTCCACAGAGGAACCAATGGTGAGAAGAAATAATAAAAGAGCAATCACATACTGCCAAAGTGTCGTTGGTCCTGGTTCTGAAACCTCTTTCCGGAGCATACCAAAGCTGACACGGGGCCCACCACGTGGGTCTGGATCTTCTGAATTGGGTTCCTCTACCATGAATAGGTTGTACTTATCACCCATGAGTTCAGCCAGCTGATCCTGGAGCTTGGCAAAAACATCCTCTCGCTTTCCTCTTAAATTTCCAAGGAAAAGAATGCCCTCCCCTAGGTCGCCAAATGGCTCTTCTTTGGTAACCCAGAAGGTAGAATAGCCAAAAAGCCTTTCCTTAATAAGTTTTACATCAGCAGGATCAACCTTTTCTGGTCCAAGGAGTTCCATCAGTTTGAAAGAGTCGACTTGGAAATTGCTATAAGCTGGTCCCACAGGAGAAATAGTTGGTGGCTGCAGGAGGGAAATGTGAAACTCTGGAATCGGTATTATCATCATCGATTTATGGTTAAGGGTGTATATATGTATATCATTCTTATCACTCCCTTGAATTTTACTTTTAGGAAGGAAAAAAAAAACTCCCTATCAAATTCTCTCCTACTGAAATACAGATTATCTATGTCTATGCGCGGTAACAATATGATTGAGATATAAATATGTGCATTTGTGTTGTACCATTTCCATCTCTCTACTAATTTTCTGTGAGAATTATGGATACATTCATGTATGATAGCATGTGATAGTTACACATGCTGCAAGTGTGGCATCATTTGATTTGCTATATAAAAACGATGTCTGATAGGAACAGAAATGTGGATTATCTAACTTTACATCATTGCCAAATCACAAATTAATCATGTATAAAATCGGCAGATCACTGAAGTTCCTTTTTTTTTTTCCCTGATTCCAGGTAATAGAAAGCCTACAAGATTCAAGATTTTTGGACCCGTTTGGTTCCACGTTCAAAAAATCATTCTCAGTTTTGGTTATTATTTTAGCAGATTCCAAAATTTAATTAATTAAAACTATGGAAACACTGGCACTTTTTGGATACCATTCTTTCAAACAAAACCTTCATTCTTGCAAATGCGGAAACCATAACAAACAGTTCCCAAATCGCTTGTTCTTTTAAATATTTTCCTTAGAAACAGGATTCAAGATTGCTCCACCATTAGCTGTCGGTATTTTCACTCTTTTCAGTTATAAAATAATCAAACCGAAAATTAAAGAAAACGTTTTAAGAAAATGATATCAACACTCCCTACTTTCTTTTTATTTATTACATTTTCTCAGTTACCAAGCTGATTCTTGTTTAAATAAACTTCAATCCAAATGGGTTCATTAACCAAGGAAAATAATAAGAATTCGGTATATATATATATATATATGCGCATAAATATAGAGAGAGAGAAATAAAGTTACCCTGGAAGACATGGATGGTGGCGACTTATCCGAATCAAAATCGTTGCTACTGGGTCTTTCCTCAGCTTCGTCCCTTGAAGCCGCTGTTGCCAAATTCGACTCGTTTGGCAAAATGTCCTCCTCTCCGTCACTACCACTGTCATTACGAGTACTCAAACACTTAACCCTACCAAAATTCCCATGTGAAATTCGCTGTCTCTTCGCTATCTCTCTGCACAAGAAACATATATTCTTGCGCCCAAACGGTTTAATTCTTTCCCTGAAACTATTGCCAATCGGAATCAACCGCAAATTCAAATTCACAGTGCTAAAACTACAACTCGTGAGCGTCCCCATCGGAATTCAATCCCAGACCTGCCTTCGATAAACTGAAGTGTGAATAATACCTTCAGAGATTCGAGAGTTTCAATGACATTTGGATAACCTCCTATGCACCAAATGTACGTGTACGTGTATTAAATATATGTATATAGGTCTGTATATGTTCTTGTGAAGTGAAGATTGAGTTTTATTCCGGGGAGAGCCGAGAGGGAGAGAAATTTAAGGGAAGAACTGAGCTGAGAAGTAGGGAGGTACTGGTGTGGCTCCTTTGGCTGTGCCAACATATCTTCTTTGTCATGTTTTAAAATATCTTTTTGCGTTTGTTTATTTATTTTCTGTCTCTTTTTTTATAATGGTCCCTTCATTTTTTAAAAAATAAATTTAATCAATAAAATTATATTATTTACCTATAAATGAAATAGATATAAGTTTTTAAATCACGCTAAAGTAAGAAAATAGAGTAATGAAACTATTTCAAAATAAAATCACCTGGATTTGGGCAACCGAACCCAACTAGAGCCCCAACATGATTTTTAGTATAATTAATTTGGGTTGAAAAATCTCAATTTAAATTTAATTAGGGTTAGGTTTAGACTGAGGTATTAATATCCCAAACCTGAATTGTAATTTTATTTTTTTATTTTTTTATTTTAAATATATTATATAAACTATTGTAACTATGATCCCTTCTTCTTCTTTTCAAATTTATTTTTTAAATCTTAATTTATTATATGTTAACGTTTAGGATAATTAATTTTGTAAGGATTTGTTTGTAATTTATTAAAAAAATTAAAATAAGTTTTACTACTTTTTTTAAAAGAATAATTTAATTTAGAACTAATTCAATATCACAATTTTCAGTCTGAAGATTGGTTATATGAGTAATCCGACCTTTTAACTCAAAATCTAAACTGCAAACCTGATTTTAAAAGTAAAATGATGGGTTGAATTTGGGATGAGTAATTAAGGGTTGAAGGTAAGATTATGATTGAACTTGAGTTGAACATTTATATGTATAATTAGGCTCTAGTTGTATCTAGTTGCCGTTCTAATTTGAACTAATATATTGTTAATTTAATTTTATATTTTATGTTACCAAATGTAATGATATGAAAAGGTTCAACACAAGATATATTTATCGAATATTTGTTTATTAATTAAAAATTAGGATAATTTGCACTCACACTCTCTTAGGTTTGCAATAAGAATAGGTAGATACAATTTAGGGAAAGTGCGATCCAATTATCTCTTCAAGTTTGCAAACTTGAATAACAACACGGTCAACATCCACAACCATGATAAGAGTACGTAATTGCTCTTTGACTTCTGAATTAACCCATTTAAATCATAAAAGTACAATATTAACCTTTTACAAGTCATTTGATTTGACCAAAATGACCCTTGGCAAAAAATTAAAAAATAATAATAAATAAAAACTTTACCATGGCAGTCACAATTTTTTTTGCAAAACCTTATTATAATATTAAATTAAAATTATTTATGGTAATGTTTTACATAAAAATTAAAGTTGACCCCTCAGATTTTTTTTAACACTCTATTTATGGTACTAGATCATAGATACTAATAGTTGTTTTATATATAAAAATAAAAATTGATCTCTCTAATTTTTAAAAAAAAAATCTATATGGTTCCCTGATACTAAATATAATTTAATAATGAAATTACTTTTAACCCCTTCAAATTCCAATAAACCTCTTGCTATAAAAGATCAAATTTAGTAAAAAATATATATATATTAATTATTATGGTAATCCTTATAACAACATACTATATTTACACATACATATATTCACACACGTATATAAATATTATTTGTTATGAATTAGAAAGAAAAAAAAAATTTATTCACTTGACAATAACAATGATTCAATTGACAATTTTTTTTTTTTTTTTTGGCACCAGGAACTCACCTACGTAGGGCCCATTCAGGACCCACCCTAGACTATAAACCCCAATCGACAACTTTTATCTTCAATTTTATTGCATATTATTTATAGACACATTTTAACAATATACATTAAACTTGCACAAAAGAAATTTCTTGTGATGAATTTATGTTATTTTTAAATTTTAATTTTACATTTCTAGTTTGTCCCCACCAATTAAAAATTCCTAAGTCCCCTGTGCGTATGGCATTGGCGGCCACATTGGTGGAGTTTAAAATTTTTATTATTATTAATTTTTTTTTTTCTCACCAAAGGTCATTTTAGTCAAATAAAATAACTTATGAAGGTCAATATTGTACTTTAATAATTTAAATGAATCAATTCAAAAGTTAAAGGCCAATTAGGTACTCTTATTATGGTTGGGGTGTTATTGTTCAAGTTTGCAAACTTGATAAGGCCAATTAGATCACACTCTTCATAAGTTGTCTGTACATTTTGAAGATTTTATATTAGTGTTTTCTTTTCAAATATTTTGTTGACCAAATTTTATAAAATGACAAATTTATCATTTTTTTATATAAAATTAGGGATGGCAATTCGTGTTCGTGGGTCGTATTCATGTCGTATCGATGTAAGGGTATTATATTAAATAGGTAAATCCAAATCCAACCAATTTAATAATTATGTCAAAAATCTCAACACTAACCCAATTTGTTTATTAAATAGGTAAACGTGTTAACCCATTTAATAATCTGTTTATCAAAACGAGACATTTAATATTTAATCAAATACTAAACAATAGAAAAAAGTTGTCATAATTAACCCAAATATCCAAAATAAAAAGAAAAATCATAAGGCATAAACAAGGTTTATATTGAAATGATTTAACTATTCATAGTAATTGGGTTTAAACAGATAACATATTATATATATGTTATAATTACGATTATAACAAGTTGAGTTAAATGAGTCATAAACGAATTACACGGGTTGAGCTCCTCAATCTTAATCCGACACGGTTAAGTAAACGAGTTATTCGTGTCGACCCTTTTATGACCCAAATCCGTTTATGCCAAACCTAAACCCTTTTAACTTGTGTCGGGTTTGTATCATGTTATCATGTTGTGTCATAATTTGCCACTCCTATATAAAATGTAATATAATATATTATTATAATATGATGGCATTACTTATAAAAGAAAATATTATAATATAAAGACATTACTAAATTTTTACCCTTAAAAGATTTGTGAAAAGTTTTAAGGGAGGTCAAAGTAACGTTACATATGTATGTAATTTGTCCAAACTTTATGAGCTGTTAATGTAATTTATTCTTATAACATTGATTGTATTAACACTGACCACATGCCATGACAAATTATAAAATAAGATAATCGCCATGAATTACATACAAATAAATATGTTTTTTAAAAAATATATACATATGGCGGTGATGTTTGCAAGTGTGAAGATCAACACTCGACACTACTGTGTTAATAATGAATTGATTTTTATTTTTATACACCGTACATCTTAAACTTTATAAATTATTAAAACACTTAATTGAAAATAATTATTGAAATTAAATTATATTTCTCACGATTTAAATAGACCTTTTGGGTTTTAAATTATTGTTCATTGGAAACTACAAGATGAAGTGACATATATTCTATTTGTTCTTGTATTTATTTGTCTTTATATATATATATATATATATATATATATATACATTTTTAATATCGTATGTCTACGTGGACAAAATAACATTTTTTTTTAATTGAAAAAAAAACATCCCCTCTCAATTTTTGGCACAAAAGCTCCCTTTAAAAAAAAAAAAAGAAAAAGAAAAAGAAAAGAAGAAGAAGAAAGAAAGAAGGAAAGGAAGGAAGGGCAAGTTACACTCACACCTTCTCAGGTTTGTAATAAAGAATAGGTAGATACAAATTAAAAAGAGTGTGATTCAATTGCCCCCTCAAGCTTACAAACTTGAACAACAATACCCCAACCATGACAAGAGTACATAATTGCCCTTTAATTTTTGAATTGACCCATTAAAATTATCAAAGTACAATATTAACCTTTATAAGTTATTTTATTTGACCAAAATAACCCTTAGCAAAAAAAAAAAAAAATCAAACTCCACCATTGTGGCCGCGCCAATGCCATATTCGTACAGACAGGGGTAGACCCAAGAATTTTTAATTGGTGGGGCCAAACTAGAAATGTAAAATTTAAAATTTAAAATAACATAAAATCATTGTAAGAAATTTTTTTTTTTTTTTTGCAAGTTTAATGTATATTGTTAAAATGTGTCTATAAATAATATGCAATAAAATTGAAGAGAGAAGTTGTCCATTGAATCATTGTTGTTGTCAAGTGAATAATTTTTTTCTTTCTTTCTAATTCATAACAAATAATATTTATATGTGTGTGTGTGAATTTATGTGTGCGTAAATATAGTATGCAGTTATAAGGATTACCATAATAATTAATAATTTTTTTTTAGTAAATTTGATCTTTTATAGCAAGAGGTTTATTGAAATTTGAAGGAGTTACAAGTAATTTCATTATTAAATTATATTTAATATCGGGAACCATATAGTTTTTTTAAAAAAAAATTAGAGAGATCAACTTTAATTTTTATATTGAAAACAACTATTAGTATCTATGATTTAGTATCACGAGTGTTACACAAAAATTGAGTGGGTCAACTTTAATTTTTATGTAAAAAATTACCATAAATAATTTTAATTTAATACTATAATAAGGTTTTGCAAAAAAATTGCGAGGGCCATGGTGGAGGGTTTTTTTTTTTTTTTTTGTCAAGGGTCATTTTGGTCCAATCAAGGGACTTGTAAAAGATTAATATTGTACTTTCGTGATTTCATGGTTGAGGTGTTGTTGTTCAAGTTTGCAAACTTAAGGGGACAATTGGATCACAATTGTATCTACCTGTCTTTATTACAAACCTGAGGTGGTGTGAGTGTAAATTACTCAAAAAAAAATTACCTAACCCCCCAGGAACTATCCAATTATTATAAAGTGATGTTATAATACCGAAAATGTCCTTTAACATAAAATTGAGAAAATAAAAAATTTCATTGCTCTTCCTTTCTATTTTATTTATTTATTTTTAAATATGTCTCTCTTTTTCTAATGGTCCCTTCATTTTTCAAAAATAATTTAATCAATAAAATTAAATTATTTACCTATAAAAGAAGTAGATATAAGTTTTAAAATCACGTTCAAATAAGAAAATAAATTAATGAAACTATTTCAAACTAAAACGGTCATGAGTTGTACTATGAGTGCAACTTGAGTTGGGCAACCCGAACTCAACTCAAGTTCAGCATGATTTTTCACGCACTTGGACAATTATTTTTAGGGTTGAACT